ACCCCCATGTTAAAATGCCCAACTTTACAGCAGAAAAAAACATGTTTCTACCCCTGGCTCCATACATTTTATTATTGATATAGTTAGATTCCACCTTCATGATTATGGATCTGTGAGTGAATTGTTTTCTAACGCGACCCTTTTATTTATATTAGGTCTTAAAGTTTGTGCATAAATTAGGGCGTGGTCACATTGAGTGACGGCTCTGTCAAGTGCCTGCCGCTGTTAGCTTCTTGTCTCTCTGCTAGCTGCTCCGTGAAGCTAGCTACAGCAGGGGTGGCCAACCCGCGGCTCTCGAGCCGCATGCGGCTCTTTGCCTAGTTTCATGCGGCTCTTCAGTTCATATCGAATTTTATATGTGTGAGTTTGGGGGAGAGACACTGACTCCTGACTAGTGTTGCACGGTGTACCAATACTTGAAAGGTACCGCAATACCCTGCCGTTAAAAACGTTACGATTCCTCCGTTTCATTAGTATCGGTACTTTAAGAATGACGGAGAAAAGTACTCCGGTGAGAAAGCGCTGTTTTAATAAGAGCCGTGTGTGTTCAGCGCTCTGCTTCCACTCCCTGTACTGCAGCCGTGCCTGCAGTCCCGCCCCTCTCAAGCACGCTCTAAGTCCCTCCCCTCTCTCATGCACGCGCTAGCTGCCAGAGCATGTGAGAAAACGAGAAGCATGGCTGCAAGTGGGAGTGCAGCTGCCGCTGCGCCTCGGCCTGTCTGTGAGACATGTATTAATTTTATTTAATACGAATTCTTGTCATTTATTTTATTTATTGTTCTCATTGTTTAAAAGTTTGTGTTATGGTTCTGGTGTGAAATAAAGCACAATAATTACAATTAAGACTGTTTCCCTTTTTTTAAGAAAAGTATCGAAAAATAATCGGAATCGCAATTCTTGACTTGGTATCGAAACCAAAATGTTGGTACCGTGACAACACTACTCCTCAGAGTTAAACCTAATATTTAGTAGGTCTGTTAAGTATCGAATGCTGATCATTCTGACGTAATTTGGCCGGTCAAAGTTGTTTGGGCTCGGATAAAATCGCTCCGTTACTTTCGTCCTGTGTTACTTTCGTCCCGGCTCTACGTGTGTATGTGTGGTGTCATGTGTCAGTATGAGAGGATGCCAGCGCGTCTAATTTTGATGTGGCCCAAGAGCCAATCACAATAATACCTGCGATGCGGTGAACCAATCACCTTTGAGGGGGGGAAAACCTATCGTTGATTAAACATTATCCAGTGTTTCCCCTACCATTGTCTTGGAGGGGCGCTGCACCCCGCCAACGGAGCCCCGCGCCCCCCCTGAAATTCAAGGTGTTTAAAAAATATATATAATTATTATTATTTTTTAATATATACATAGCACCAAATTGCAAATAATCTATAACTACTGTCACTTTTCACATTGAACATGTGCTCTTTTATTAAATAAACTAAACGCTTTCATTTCAAGTTGTGAGTTTAGTGTTTTTGACCCTAAGAAACACTGATGCATTAATCAATAACAATAATCCACAGCCCTCTCTCTGCTCCAGAGGATTTAAAAAATATATATCCCAATGCCACAAAAATGCATCAGTGACATGGTTGAAATCTTGTCTCCAGAAAACAAAAAACTGAAACAAGCGGTATCAGTGTGTTTGATGTGGCTCTTTGCAGTAACATAGAAAAAATGTGGCTCTTAACCTCTGACTGGTTGGCCACCCCTGAGCTACAGGGACTCTGCCTGCTCAGCTCATCCAGGAAACACAACTTGTAGCCGGCCGTGGTTGTTTGTTCTTCATGCTTATATATCGGACTATTGTGACTCGCTCTGCGGTTAAAACAGACGGTGCATGAATGTGGTTTTGCGGTAAGTGAAATTCTAGTGCTTTATTTATGTGTTAATGATTTTAATCAGCTACGTAATGAATGGTAAGGCTTGGGTTAGCATGTAAGCTAGTGGTAGCTACATCGGTGCTAACGATTGTAATCGTAGCCTCCAAGTTAAAATCATAGACTGTATATATAAAGGTTAAAACTAAATAGACAAGTGTTAAGTGGGATAATACTGTTGAACAAACGGCTTCTGTTTGAGGTTGATAAAATAAGGTTACATCCTTGTAACTTAGAGATATTTTATTATGTAGGTAGAACTGTATGCATCTAAGGTTAATTTAAATTGGCTATGCTCAAGTATGTAGACAAGCTAATGTCGAAGTAGTGTATGTGAAATCAACCTCACAATAAGATGTGTGTATATTACAATTATTAATGTCATATTTCAAGATGATTACTTAGATATTACAATATGGTTGGTTGAGCTGGAGTTCATTATTGAGCTTACACGTTAACGTCACAGTCATCTGAAGAACGAACCCAAACCTTGTTTTTATTAATTGCATTACCAAATGGGTATCAAATAAACAGTAAGCATTGGTAACACAACTTCCAAAGTTACAGTAAAATAAAAAGGCCCCTGACTCGGACAATACACAATCCAACATGTTCAACAGAAGAGAATCAGTTATATTGTTTGTACACATGGTTCTTTATATATATATCTGTTTAAGGTGTCCAGGTGATGCAGACAGGCTGGACCAGAGAGTGAGAGACAGAACTGGACTCCTCACAGCAGTGAACTTCAGCACAGGTACAAAGACTCTTTTTTCATACTGTACAAAGAATCAAGAAAGATATTGGTTTAAATGAATGAAGTATTGACTTGAATACACTGATATACATTCCATTAAACAATACTAAATACTAGATCACCTACACATCAGTTAAGTTGAGGGTTTTTTCCATGCAAAAAGTTACATTTAGATGATAACAAGCAATATGACTTTGTCAGCTTTCTAATTTAATGTATTGAAGGCAAAGATATTTAACACATAGTGAGAACTGCTACTATTTATCTCTCAATATTGTCTGTAAAAAACGTGGTAAAAGTGATTCTTTCAGTGAGACAACAGAGCAAGCTTCTACAGCTGCACTACGTTTTGATAACAGTTAAATATTATTTTGATAATAACATATATTTCAATGTTGAACTTCATACTGTTCATTCATAATCTGATTGTCTTTGTAGCTCATTGTTGAAATAAAAAAAAAAACATTACAATTACAAAATAATTATATCTACAGCCCCTAAACACACAAACACACCGCTTTCATAAATAACACACTTGTTCTGCAATAATATGTTTTATGTTTCCTGTCATTTTTGTTAGGAAAGGACATGCCTGAAAGACAGGACATTTTCTCCTTCTCTGAGGGTCAAGAAGAACATCCAAGAGGAACATTAAGAGCTGATGTTATAAGATTTCAAGACCAGTACAGGACATTCACTAAGAAACTACTTTTATTGTAAAAACAGTCAGCTGATCGAATGCAGCTATTTCCACATCTACACTCCATCCGCTGATTATTTCTATTTGCCTCACTTTATGAGCTTCACAACATGTACCTTGTTTTGCAACGTCACAAATAAATGGGGCCAATCTTCAGTCAGATGTGAATGTGTAATCTAACATTTTCAGTAAGAATAATGGACAAAAGGAGAGCAAATACAAATACAATTTATTGAAATGTGAACCAAAAGTTAATCAAATGTTTTAAATAAAAAGCACATATGGACAGAAGGTGTAAATCTATTAAATGTATTAAACACATTTAGTCAAATAAAGTGACCGACTAGGCCTGTGCAGTTGGTATCAGCTTTGCCCAGCATGGGCTCCTTCATCAGGCCTGGTCCTCCTCGCAGAGGGAAGACCCTCAGTCCTCTCCAAACCAACAGACAGGACGTCCACCACACGGAGGTTTCTCCCTGAAGTCTCTGCAGCTCTCTGGACACCACGCTGTCTCAATCCGTCCACACTGAATATGAGATTGGGAAAATGAAAATAACAAATGCTTTAGACAATAAGAAACATAAAGTTGACTGTTGAGTTGCTCAGTTTTTTTAGATTGTCAATACTATTACTGTATAACTAATATCTCAGGTTAAGAGGCACATTCAAATAAAGATTGGTCTTTAAATACATTTTGTCTTTTGAATTGTTTGTCTAAAGTCAAGGATCTATAACTGGTACTTAGTTTTAATGATAGTCTGGTTATTATGCTGTTTGGAGGAGGCCTCACAGGTAAGAGCGCTAACTAGCTACCATCACATGTACCTTAGCTTGACTTAAATGTATTAAACGTATAGTTAAGTGATATCAAAATATAAATAACTAATGTCATGCAAACATATTAATATTTGCTTGATTCCAGTGTTGAATTTAGCACAATTGCATACAAACGTTAAGGGGTTTTAAGATTCTGAAGTATTATGCTAAAAGCTCAATAACTTAGATTATTATTTATAGTTTTGCTGAATAGTTTCATGTCCGCTTACCTTAGAAACGTAAAATGCGACGGCAGATGGGGAGCATGTTAGCTTAGCTTGGTAGCTTCAGCTAGCTCTGGAACTTCCAGCTCGGTGGCAGCAGGTCCCGCCTCGGCTCCGCCTCTTTGCCCTTATTTGGAGAAGGCGGAGTTGAACTCTGGCGTCACTGTCGAGCCGTTAGTGGCCGACTCCGCCTACTAAGGGCTTCACGGCAACTCTGCAGAATCCTATGGGTGACGTCACGGACCCTACGTCCATTTATATATACAGTCTATGATTTGAACGCATCCCTGTGACCAGCTCTCATAGTATGCCTCTCGTCCAATGAATTGACTTGCTTGCTCTATGACGCATTGAACCCAATGTGAGCAAATTACTCTGAATGCTGCGACGCAGCACCTGAGATTACTTCCTAAAAGTTGTTCACGTTCTCTATTTATTACGTTTAACGTTATATTCGTTCAGTACACTTCGGTACACACTTGTACCGAACCGAAGGGCCCGTACGTACACCGTCACACCCCTAAGATACTCAGTGAGGATCAGAATGATATCAGCCTGATGTCTGCAGCTCAGAGTCAACACAACTGTCTTCATCTCAGCACAGAAGTAAAAGATGGAGAACTGACCTGAGAGTCTTCAGTCTGCAGTCTGGACTCTCCAGAAAGTCACTCAGAACCTCCACATCATAATCCTGCAGTTTGTTGCTACTCAGATCCAGATCCCTCAGATGGGAGGGGTTGGACTTCAGAGCTGAGGCTAGATGAAAACAGCTCGTCCCTGACAAGCTGCAGTCCTTAAGTCTGAATAAAGAAAACATGATGTAACTTTAGAAAACAAAGTTCCAATTTGAAATATCTCCAGGTTTAATAATCTGTTCAGAGCTGAAGAAGGTTAGAAAGTGGAAACTCCAACAGGTAAAAGCTGTAAGAGAGAAAAAGTGAAAAGATCTCTCATTAATATGAAAGACAACGTGCTTCTACTTCAATAATAAAGAGGTGACTTCACATCTGAGACTCTGCTCCATCTACACTAACTCATGATGTGCAGCCAGACCAATAAAACCCACAGGAACTGATTCAACTCAAGATCACAACGTTTACAAAGATCACAAATATTTCAGGATGAATTTTGAAGAAATGTGAAGACAAATATCCAGAATATTTATATTAGGAATAGTGGAGTCATCAAATCACAGCATCTTCAGTTTGAACTATTCAGTCAGTAAAAGCATCGTGCCGCTTCAGAAAACGTTTTAATATAAATATGTACTTTATAATTGATTTAAAGCATGCTGCAGAATATAAGATGAGTTTCAAGTGTTTAAGATGAGTGAATTATGCTGTGTAGGATTCTCAGCATTAAGATACTCTAGGGGTGTAACGGTTCACAAACATTTCGGTTCGGTACGTACCTCGGTTTTTAGGTCACGGTTCGGTTCGGTACGTTTTCGGTACAGCATAAAAAATTATCACAAAACATTAAATATTTGTTGTTTTTTAAAAATTATTATTAAACTGTGAATAATGTATTTACTCAAATAAATACAAAATATAACAAACATTAAGATGCAGCATTTCGATGAACTGAAATAATCTGTATTTGAACTTTACTGTACTAGTACTCACCAGTGGCGGCTCCAGAGTATTTGTGTTGGGTAATCTATGGTAGGGCTAACCCACACAGTGGTGGGGCTCAAGTCAGTATTTGCAATGTAATTACATACACGCTGCCCTTGACAGTGAAACGCCACGCGTGAGGTTTAGATTATTTCCCTGTCTCAATCTAAATTGAACTGTATGAAATAAAAAACACATTTGTCTTGTAGTAAATAAAAAGGGCGACCTGGAGCCAATCCTGCAATTTCTCCACAGGTGAAAGAGTTGACATGCTGAAAACCCAACCCCTGCAGGGGGGTCTGGGGGGATTCTCCCCCAGGAGATGTTTTGAAATACTAACATCAAATACACATTCTGGTACTCTCTTGAGAAGAACAATAAATAAATCTATTACTCCACGACATATTTTAAAAAATGAATGCCATTTTAGTTTGTTGTTACTTTGTTCTGAAAGCTGAACCTGCTGCTCCTCACAGAGAGAAGAGGGAAGAGGCTGTGAATTACTTTACATTGTGGATAAGGGTGGATAGCCCCCTTTGTTCTGTGTGTCAAAATGAAGACAGCCCACACACCTATCAATCATCAAACCGTGGGGTCTTATTTCATTACGTATTGATTTCTATCAACACGTAATGTTGTATCGATGTATATAGAGATGTACTACAGCAAAAGTATTCTCCGTCGGGACTTCCTGCAACAACACCACGCCGTTATCTTGATTCTGATTGGCCAGAAGACATTATCAAAGATGTTCTATTAAGAAGACGATCACTACGTGACAAAAGTTTTCAAAACCGTTTCTAGTCTTCTGTATTTCCACACAAGTGGACAAGTGGCTACTGAAATCAATCTTACTAACCGCTGTCTGTGCAATTTACTCCGCGCGAGTTGGCGGACTTTATTTTGCTTACTTTAACATCATTTTTCAAGGTGGGGCTAAGGTGGGGCTAAGCCCTTTCTTGGTATGGCTGTAGCCTACGCCAGCCATACCCTGGCGCCACCACTGGTACTCACAAAACATAAACTATTAGTTTTGTGTTTTTATTTATTATTAAACTGTGAATATTCACTCGAATAAATACAACATATAATAAAATAAACATTAAGGTGGAGCATTTCGATGAACTGAAATAATCTGTATTTGAACTGTACTAGTCCCTAAGCAGCCAGCTTGACATTAGGACTTGCTTGTCATTGTATTTTCATGTTTTTTTAAAGAAAGATGAACTTGTCCACATTGCTTGCCGAAAGGGCAGATCTGCTCAAACTAACAATGTCTCCTGCTGTGGAGAACACCCTCTCTAGGAACAGAGGTAGCAGACACAGCCAGGTAGCGCTTTGCTAACATGGCAACATAAGGATATGTGGCGTTTGTAATAGCTTTGGCTCGGTCTGAACTCTCTGCGAGTGGTGGAGGCTTACATGCTAGCGGGAGTTGGGTTTGCACTTCAGTCTTTTGGTACCGGTGATATTCACGTTCGGTGATGCCTTTTCAAATGAGTGTGCAAGTTTAATGTATTGCCAGCCGCGTAACCTATTTTAGTTGAACAATGCCGACAAACAGCTTTGGTTCGGTCCACCTGTCTTTGTCCTTCATCCTTGTACGTAACTGCAAAACAAAAAATGTTCCTAAACCGGAGACTTCAATGATGCTGGATGATTTTCGAGCTCAACTTTATCTGCGTTCGTCATTTCGACAGTTCCTCAAATTACTGACTACATTTGAACGCATCCCTGTGACCAGCTCTCATAGTATGCCTCTCGTCCAATGAAATTACTTGCTTGCTCTATGACGCGTTGAACCCAATGTGAGCAAATTACTCTGAATGCTGCGACGCAGCACCTGAGATTACTTCCAAAAAGTTGTTCATGTTCTCAATTTTTTACGTTTAACGTTATATTCGTTCAGTACACTTCGGTACACACTTTGGTACACACTTGTACCGAACCGAAGGGCCCGTACGTACACCGTCACACCCCTAAGATACTCAGTGAGGATCAGAATGATATCAGCCTGATGTCTGCAGCTCAGAGTCAACACAACTGTCTTCATCTCAGCACAGAAGTAAAAGATGGAGAACTGACCTGAGAGTCTCCAGTCTGCAGTCTGGACTCTTCAGAAAGTCACTCAGAACCTCCACATCATAATCCTGCAGTTTGTTGCTACTCAGATCCAGATCCCTCAGATGGGAGGGGTTGGACTTCAGAGCTGAGGCTAGATGAAAACAGCTCATCCCTGACAAGCTGCAGTCCTTAAGTCTGAATAAAGAAAACATGATGTAACTTTAGAAAACAAAGTTCCAGTTTGAAATATCTCCAGGTTTAATAATCTGTTCAGAGAAGAAGAAGGTTAGAAAGTGGAAACTCCAACAGGTAAAAGCTGTAAGAGAGAAAAAGTGAAAAGATCTCTCATTAATATGAAAGACAACGTGCTTCTACTTCAATAATAAAGAGGTGACTTCACATCTGAGACTCTGCTCCATCTACACTAACTCATGATGTGCAGCCAGACCAATAAAACCCACAGGAACTGATTCAACTCAAGATCACAACGTTTACAAAGATCACAAATATTTCAGGATGAATTTTGAAGAAATGTGAAGACAAATATCCAGAATATTTATATTAGGAATAGTGGAGTCATCAAATCACAGCATCTTCAGTTTGAACTATTCAGTCAGTAAAAGCATCGTGTAGCTTCAGAAAACGTTTTAATATAAATATGTACTTTATAATTTATTTAAAGCATGCTGCAGAATATAAGATGAGTTTCAGGTGTTTAAGATGAGTGAATTATGCTGTGTAGGATTCTCAGCATTAAGATACTCTAGGGGTGTAACGGTTCACAAACATTTCGGTTCGATACGTACCTCGGTTTTTAGGTCACGGTTCGGTTCGGTACGTTTTCGGTACAGCATAAAAAATGATCACAAAACAAAAAAAATAGTTGTTTTTTTAAAATTATTATTAAACTGTGAATAATGTATTTACTCAAATAAATACAAAATATAACAAACATTAAGGTGCAGCATTTCGATGAACTGAAATAATCTGTATTTGAACTTTACTGTACTAGTACTCACCAGTGGCGGCTCCAGAGTATTTGTGTTGGGTACTCTATGGTAGGGCTAACCCACACAGTGGTGGGGCTCAGGTCAGTATTTGCAATGTAATTACATACACACTCCCCTTGACAGTGAAACGACACGCGTGAGGTTTAGATTATTTCCCTGTCTCAATCCAAATTGAACTGTATGAAATAAAAAACACATTTGTCTTGTAGTAAATAAAAAGGGCGACCTGGAGCCAATCCTGCAATTTCTCCACAGGTGAAAGAGTTGACATGCTGAAAACCCAACCCCTGCAGGGGGGTCTGGGGGGATTGTCCCCCAGGAGATTTTTTGATATACTAACATCAAATACACATTCTGGTACTCTCTTGAGAAGAAACATAAATAAATCTATTACTACACGACATATTTTAAAAAATGAATGCCATTTTTGTGTTTTGTTACTTTGTTCTGAAAGCTGAACCTGCTGCTCCTCACAGAGAGAAGAGGGAAGAGGCTGTGAATTACTTTACATTGTGGATAAGGGTGGATAGCCCCCATTGTTCTGTGTGTCAAAATGAAGACAGCCCACACACCTATCAATCATCAAACCGTGGGGTCTTATTTCATTACGTGTTGATTTCTATCAACACGTAATGTTGTATCGATGTATATAGAGATGTACTACAGAAAAAGTATTCTCCGTCGGGACTTCCTGCAACAACACCACGCCGTTATCTTGATTCTGATTGGCCAGAAGACATTATCAAAGATGTTCTATTGTCACTACGTGACAAAAGTTTTCAAAACCGTTTCTAGTCTTCTGTATTTCCACACAAGTGGACAAGTGGCTACTGAAATCAATCTTACTAACCGCTGTCTGTGCAATTTACTCCGCGCGAGTTGGCGGACTTTATTTAGCTTACTTTACTGTAACATCATTTTTCAAGGTGGGGCTAAGGTGGGGCTAACCCATTTCTTGGTATGGCTGTAGCCTACGCCAGCCATACCCTGGCGCCACCACTGGTACTCACAAAACATAAACTATTAGTTTAGTGTTTTTAATTATTATTAAACTGTGAATATTCACTCGAATAAATACAACATATAATAAAATAAACATTAAGGTGGAGTATTTCGATGAACTGAAATAATCTGTATTTGAACTGTACTAGCACCTGAGCAGCCAGCTTGACATTAGGACTTGCTTGTCATTGTATTTTCATGTTGTTTTAAAGAAAGATGAACTTGTCCACATTGCTTGCCGAAAGGGCAGATCTGCTGGCACTAACAATGTCTCCTGCTGTGGAGAACACCCTCTCTAGGGACAGAGGTAGCAGACACAGCCAGGTAGCGCTTTGCTAACATGGCAACATAAGGATACTTGGCGTTTTTAATAGCTTTGGCTCGGTCTGAACTCTCTGCGAGTGGTGGAGGCTTACATGCTAGCGGGAGTTGGGTTTGCACTTCAGTCTTTTGGTACCGGTGATATTCACGTTCGGTGATGCCTTTTCAAGAGTGTGCAAGTTTAATGTATTGCCAGCCGCGTAACCTATTTTAGTTGAACAATGCCGACAAACAGCTTTGGTTCGGTCCACCTGTCTTTGTCCCTCATCCTTGTACGTAACTGCAAAACCAAAATGTTCCCAAACCGGAGACTTCAATGATGCTGGAGGATTTTCGAGCTCAACTTGATCTGCGTTCGCCATTTCGACAGTTCCTCAAATTACTGACTACATATGAACCAAGCGGCAAACTGTGGGGTAGAGCCGGGAAGCCAATACGGAAGTGCCACACACTGCAGTTCATATATTGGCCGATAGGCGATGGCTGCAGAAAGGAGCAATTTCCATAGACCCCCATGTTAAAATGCCCAACTTTACAGCAGAAAAAAACATGTTTCTACCCCTGGCTCCATACATTTTATTATTGATATAGTTAGATTCCACCTTCATGATTATGGATCTGTGAGTGAATTGTTTTCTAACGCGACCCTTTTATTTATATTAGGTCTTAAAGTTTGTGCATAAATTAGGGCGTGGTCACATTGAGTGACGGCTCTGTCAAGTGCCTGCCGCTGTTAGCTTCTTGTCTCTCTGCTAGCTGCTCCGTGAAGCTAGCTACAGGGACTCTGCCTGCTCAGCTCATCCAGGAAACACAACTTGTAGCCGGCCGTGGTTGTTTGTTCTTCATGCTTATATATCGGACTATTGTGACTCGCTCTGCGGTTAAAACAGACGGTGCATGAATGCGGTTTTGCGGTAAGTGAAATTCTAGTGCTCTATTTATGTGTTAATGATTTTAATCAGCTACGTAATGAATGGTAAGGCTTGGGTTAGCATGTAAGCTAGTGGTAGCTACATCGGTGCTAACGATTGTAGTCGTAGCCTCCAAGTTAAAATCATAGACTGTATATATAAAGGTTACAACGAAATAGACAAGTGTTAAGTGGGATAATACTGTTGAACAAACGGCTTCTGTTTGAGGTTGATAAAATAAGGTTACATCCTTGTAACTTAGAGATATTTTATTATGTAGGTAGAACTGTATGCATCTAAGGTTAATTTAAATTGGCTATGCTCAAGTATGTAGACAAGCTTATGTCGAAGTAATGTATGTGAAATCAACCTCACAATAAGATGTGTGTATATTACAATTATTAATGTCATATTTCAAGATGATTACTTAGATATTACAATATGGTTGGTTGAGCTGGAGTTCATTATTGAGCTTACACGTTAACGTCACAGTCATCTGAAGAACGAACCCAAACCTTGTTGTTTTTATTAATTGTATTACCAAATGGGTATCAAATAAACAGTAAGCATTGGTAACACAACTTCCAAAGTTACAGTAAAATAAAAAGGCCCCTGACTCGGACAATACACAATCCAACATGTTCAACAGAAGAGAATCAGTTATATTGTTTGTACACATGGTACTTTACATATATATATATATCTCTGTTTGTTTAAAGTGTCCAGGTGATGCAGACAGGCTGGACCAGAGAGTGAGAGACAGAACTGGACTCCTCACAGCAGTGAACTTCAGCTCAGGTACAAAGACTCTTTTTTCATACTGTACAAAGAATCAAGAAAGATATTGGTTTAAATGAATGAAGTATTGACTTGAATACACTGATATACATTCCATTAAACAATACTAAATACTAGATCACCTACACATCAGTTAAGTTGAGGGTTTTTTCCATGCAAAAAGTTACATTTAGATGTTAACAAGCAATATGACTTTGTCAGCTTTCTAATTTAATGTATTGAAGGCAAAGATATTTAACACATAGTGAGAACTGCTACTATTTATCTCTCAATATTGTCTGTAAAAAACGTGGTAAAGTGATTCTTTCAGTGAGACAACAGAGCAAGCTTCTACAGCTGCACTACGTTTTGATAACAGTTAAATATTATTTTGATAATAACATATATTTCAATGTTGATGAACTTCATACTGTTCATTCATAATCTGTTTGTCTTTGTAGCTCATTGTTGAAATAAAAAAAAAAACATTACAATTACAAAATAATTATATCTACAGCCCCTAAACACACAAACACACCGCTTTCATAAATAACACACTTGTTCTGCAATAATATGTTTTATGTTTCCTGTCATTTTTGTTAGGAAAGGACATGCCTGAAAGACAGGACATTTTCTCCTTCTCTGAGGGTCAAGAAGAACATCCAAGAGGAACATTAAAAGCTGATGTTATGAGATTTTAAGACCAGTACAGGACATTCACTAAGAAACTACTTTTATTGTAAAAACAGTCAGCTGATCGAATGCAGCTATTTCCACATCTACACTCCATCAGCTGATTATTTCTATTTGCCTCACTTTATGAGCTTCACAACATGTACCTTGTTTTGCAACGTCACAAATAAATGGGGCCAATCTTCAGTCAGATGTGAATGTGTAATCTAACATTTTCAGTAAGAATAATGGACAAAAGGAGAGCAAATACAATTTATTGAAATGTGAACCAAAAGTTAATCAAATGTTTTAAATAAAAAGCACATATGGACAGAAGGTGTAAACCTATTAAATGTATTAAACACATTTAGTCAAATAAAGTGACCGACTAGGCCTGTGTAGTTGGTATCAGCTTTGCCCAGCATGGGCTCCTCCATCAGGCCTGGTCCTCCTCGCAGAGGAAAGACCCTCAGTCCTCTCCAAACCAACAGACAGGACGTCCACCACACGGAGGTTTCTCCCTGAAGTCTCTGCAGCTCTCTGGACACCAGACTGTCTCAATCCGTCCACACTGAATATGAGATTGGGAAAATGAAAATAATAAATGCTTTAGACAATAAGAAACATAAAGTTGACTGTTGAGTTGCTCAGTTTTTTTAGATTGTCAATACTATTACTGTATAACTAATATCTCAGGTTAAGAGGCACATTCAAATAAAGATTGGTCTTTAAATACATTTTGTCTTCTGAATTGTTTGTCTAAAGTCAAGGATCTATAACTGGTACTTAGTTTTAATGATACAGTCTGGTTATTATGCTGTTTGGAGGAGGCCTCACAGGTAAGAGCGCTAACTAGCTACCATCACATGTACCTTAGCTTGACTTAAATGTATTAAACGTATAGTTAAGTGATATCAAAATATAAATAACTAATGTCATGCAAACATATTAATATTTGCTTGATTCCAGAGTTGAATTTAGCACAATTGCATACAAACGTTAAGGGGTTTTAAGATTCTGAAGTATTATGCTAAAAGCTCAATAACTTAGATTATTATTTATAGTTTTGCTGAATAGTTTCATGTCCGCTTACCTTAGAAACGTAAAATGCGACGGCAGATGGGGAGCATGTTAGCTTAGCTTGGTAGCTTCAGCTAGCTCTGGAACTTCCAGCTCGGTGGCAGCAGGTCCCGCCTCGGCTCCGCCTCTTTGCCCTTATTTGGAGAAGGCGGAGTTGAACTCTGGCGTCACTGTCGAGCCGTTAGTGGCCGACTCCGCCTACTAAGGGCTTCACGGCAACTCTGCAGAATCCTATGGGTGACGTCACGGACCCTACGTCCATTTATATATACAGTCTATGATTTGAACGCATCCCTGTGACCAGCTCTCATAGTATGCCTCTCGTCCAATGAAATGACTTGCTTGCTCTATGACGCATTGAACCCAATGTGAGCAAATTACTCTGAATGCTGCGACGCAGCACCTGAGATTACTTCCTAAAAGTTGTTCACGTTCTCTATTTATTACGTTTAACGTTATATTCGTTCAGTACACTTCGGTACACACTTGTACCGAACCGAAGGGCCCGTACGTACACCGTCACACCCCTAAGATACTCAGTGAGGATCAGAATGATATCAGCCTGATGTCTGCAGCTCAGAGTCAACACAACTGTCTTCATCTCAGCACAGAAGTAAAAGATGGAGAACTGACCTGAGAGTCTTCAGTCTGCAGTCTGGACTCTTCAGAAAGTCACTCAGAACCTCCACATCATAATCCTGCAGTTTGTTGCTACTCAGATCCAGATCCCTCAGATGGGACTTCAGAGCTGAGGCTAGATGAAAACAGCTCGTCCCTGACAAGCTGCAGTCCTTAAGTCTGAATAAAGAAAACATGATGTAACTTTAGAAAACAAAGTTCCAATTTGAAATAACTCCAGGTTTAATAATCTGTTCAGAGATGAAGAAGGTTAGAAAGTGGAAACTCCAACAGGTAACAGCTGTAAGAGAGAAAAAGTGAAAAGATCTCTCATTAATATGAAAGACAACGTGCTTCTACTTCAATAATAAAGAGGTGACTTCACATCTGAAACTCTGCTCCATCTACACTAACTCATGATGTGCAGCCAGACCAATAAAACCCACAGGAACTGATTCAACTCAAGATCACAACGTTTACAAAGATCACAAATATTTCAGGATGAATTTTGAAGAAATGTGAAGACAAATATCCAGAATATTTATATTAGGAATAGTGGAGTCATCAAATCACAGCATCTTCAGTTTGAACTATTCAGTCAGTAAAAGCATCGTGCAGCTTCAGAAAACGTTTTAATATAAATATGTACTTTATAATTTATTTAAAGCATGCTGCAGAATATAAGATGAGTTTCAGGTGTTTAAGATGAGTGAATTATGCTGTGTAGGATTCTCAGCATTAAGATACTCTAGGGGTGTAACGGTTCACAAACATTTCGGTTCGGTACGTACCTCGGTTTTTAGGTCACGGTTCGGTTCGGTACGTTTTCGGTACAGCATAAAAAATTATCACAATCCATTAAATATTTGATGTTTTTTAAAAATTATTATTAAACTGTGAATAATGTATTTACTCAAATAAATACAAAATATAATAAAAATTAAGATGCAGCATTTCGATGAACTGAAATAATCTGTATTTGAACTTTACTGTACTAGTACTCACCAGTGGCGGCTCCAGAGTATTTGTGTTGGGTAATCTATGGTAGGGCTAACCCACACAGTGGTGGGGCTCAGGTCAGTATTTGCAATGTAATTACATACACGCTGCCCTTGACAGTGAAACGCCACGCGTGAGGTTTAGATTATTTCCCTGTCTCAATCCAAATTGAACTGTATGAAATAAAAAACACATTTGTCTTGTAGTAAATAAAAAGGGCGACCTGGAGCCAATCCTGCAATTTCTCCACAGGTGAAAGAGTTGACATGCTGAAAACCCAACCCCTGCAGGGGGGTCTGGGGGGATTGTCCCCCAGGAGATTTTTTGAAATACTAACATCAAATACACATTCTGGTACTCTCTTGAGAAGAAACATAAATAAATCTATTACTCCACGACATATTTTAAAAAATGAATGCCATTTTAGTTTGTTGTTACTTTGTTCTGAAAGCTGAACCTGCTGCTCCTCACAGAGAGAAGAGGGAAGAGGCTGTGAATTACTTTACATTGTGGATAAGGGTGGATAGCCCCCTTTGTTCTGTGCGTCAAAATGAAGACAGCCCACACACCTATCAATCATCAAACCGTGGGGTCTTATTTCATTACGTATTGATTTCTATCAACACGTAATGTTGTATCGATGTATATAGAGATGTACTACAGCAAAAGTATTCTCCGTCGGGACTTCCTGCAACAACACCACGCCGTTATCTTGATTCTGATTGGCCAGAAGACATTATCAAAGATGTTCTATTGAGAAGACGATCACTACGTGACAAAAGTTTTCAAAACCGTTTCTAGTCTTCTGTATTTCCAGACAAGTGGACAAGTGGCTACTGAAATCAATCTTACTAACCGCTGTCTGTGCAATTTACTCCGCGCGAGTTGGCGGACTTTATTTTGCTTACTTTAACATCATTTTTCATGGTGGGGCTAAGGTGGGGCTAAGCCCTTTCTTGGTATGGCTGTAGCCTACGCCAGCCATACCCTGGCGCCACCACTGGTACTCACAAAACATAAACTATTAGTTTTGGGTTTTTATTTATTATTAAACTGTGAATATTCACTCAAATAAATACAACATATAATAAAATAAACATTAAGGTGGAGCATTTCGATTAACTGAAATAATCTGTATTTTAACTGTACTAGCACCTGAGCAGCCAGCTTGACATTAGGACTTGCTTGTCATTGTATTTCATGTTTTTTTAAAGAAAGATGAACTTGTCCACATTGCTTGCCGAAAGGGCAGATCTGCTGAAACTAACAATGTCTCCTGCTGTGGAGAACACCCTCTCTAGGGACAGAGGTAGCAGATACAGCCAGGTAGCGCTTTGCTAACATGGCAACATAAGGATATGTGGCGTTTGTAATAGCTTTGGCTCGGTCTGAACTCTCTGCGAGTGGTGGAGGCTTACATGCAGTGGGAGTTGGGTTTGCACTTCAGTCTTTTTTCTTTTGGTACCGGTGATATTCACGTTCGGTGATGCCTTTTCAAATGAGTGTGCAAGTTTAATGTATTGCCAGCCGCGTAACCTATTTTAGTTGAACAATGCCGACAAACAGCTTTGGTTCGGTCCACCTGTCTTTGTCTCTCATCCTTGTACGTAACTGCGAAACCAAAATGTTCCCAAACCGGAGACTTCAATGATGCTGGAGGATTTTCGAGCTCAACTTTATCTGCGTTCGCCATTTCGACAGTTCCTCAAATTACTGACTACATTTGAACGCATCCCTGTGACCAGCTCTCATAGTATGCCTCTCGTCCAATGAAATGACTTGCTCGCTCTATGACGCGTTGAACCCAATGTGAGCAAATTACTCTGAATGCTGCGACGCAGCACCTGAGATTACTTCCAAAAGTTGTTCACGTTCTCAATTGTTTACGTTTAACGTTATATTCGTTCAGTACACTTCGGTACACACTTTGGTACACACTTGTACCGAACCGAAGGGCCCGTACGTACACCGTCACACCCCTAAGATACTCAGTGAGGATCAGAATGATATCAGCCTGATGTCTGCAGCTCAGAGTCAACACAACTGTCTTCATCTCAGCACAGAAGTAAAAGATGGAGAACTGACCTGAGAGTCTCCAGTCTGCAGTCTGGACTCTTCAGAAAGTCACTCAGAACCTCCACATCATAATCCTGCAGTTTGTTGCTACTCAGATCCAGATCCCTCAGATGGGAGGGGTTGGACTTCAGAGCTGAGGCTAGATGAAAACAGCTCGTCCTTGACAAGCTGCAGTCCTTAAGTCTGAATAAAGAAAACATGATGTAACTTTAGAAAACAAAGTTCCTGTTTAAAATAACTCCAGGTTTAATAATCTGTTCAGAGCTGAAGAAGGTTAGAAAGTGGAAACTCAAAACATGTAAAAACTGTAAGAGACAAAAAGTGAAAAGATCTCTCATTAATATGAAAGACAACGTGCTTCTCCTTCAATAATAAATAGGTGACTTCACATCTGAAACTCTGCTCCATCTACACCAAGGGTAGCCAACACGGTGCCGGCACTTAGTCGCCCGCAGGGGCAACGTGAGTCGCCCGCAGGGGGAATATTCTAAAAATAGCTCGCCAAGCAAATCCAAAATGTATAAAATACACAAAACAAAAAAGGAAATGTAATTCAAATGATCTCCCCTATGCATAAACGAAACCTAAATCATAGCGAACTCTATCTACTTACTACAACTCTATATCTATCTAACATATATCTACCCTTCCTCCCCCACCCCCACAATGAATATCGACCAATCACGTTCTTGCTTGATTTGCGGGACCAGCGTTGCAGTCGGGAAGAAAAGCAATGTGGCCCCTCCCCGCTGATTTTCCTTCTGGCAGAATCTACACATCAGCCCCATTGAACAGCCTGTCATGCCAGCCTATACAGCACATGAGGGCCAGAGTTTTACTCTGTGTGTTGCAACTTGCATATATATTTATTCCACTTGACGCACACACACACGCATGGCGTAATCTCCACTGGGGACAGGGGGGACATGTCCCCCACTCTTTTGGAAATCCCGTTTGTGTCTCCCCACTTTACAAATATGTTTATTATTATTTTTTAACGCAAGCCGTCATCGCCACGGAGGAGCGTCTGTGAGCGAGTGAGACAGAGAGGGAGGGAGGGAGAGAGGGATAGAGAGCTAGGGAGAGCACACCTTTATCTATTTAATATAGATAGAGTAAGAAATCATTCCAATGTGTACTATAGGACAGTAAAAAAAACAGTTTAAAAAGGGGAGTGATTAGTAAAATATGCATAAATGAAAAGACAGAATGGTAACTAGGTAAGATAAGAATAAACCAGTTTAAATGATTTGTTATTGGTTGTGATCATATTCTAAAGATGTTTGGATTATTGAAAAGTATACAGCTCCCTTTCATCTGAGTGCTGAGAGCTGTATCCATACATTCATGTTGTGCTCAAAGTTGTTGAAGCAATATGTGGTCTGAAACCCACCTCGGCTCCGCGTGTCCTTTGATGAGCTGGTCAGATTTATAAAAGAAGGAATTCAAAGCACCAGGAGAAAGGTTAAACTATAATCTGTTTTAATGGTAAAAGAACAACATTACAAGTTAAAAGGGGTACCCCTGCTCTGGTTCGTGTGCTGTTAGATCTTACTATCTTGGCAGCAGTAGAAAAAGAGGCCGGACAAAGCACACAACAGGGATACATGTAAGAACAACGGGGAGGAGTTGTGTAGGATGCTCCTCCCATAGGGCCCATCTATTGGGAGATATAAAAACGATAGCCTGTCGCAGCGAATCAGCGTGAGCCAGCCGAGATGACCCTGAAATAAGAGTCTCTTCAGTTTGAGGTATTTTTTGCATAGACTTCCTTCTCTCCGGCCCCCTTCCCCATCAGTTCAATACACACACAGTTTCACATACTTTTGGTATCTTAAAGATATGTTTACGACATAGCTGTTTATAGTTGGCCAATACAAGTAATACATATCAGTTACTTTAATATCACACACATATTTTAGACAGGTAACCTTCCAGATACTTGACATGCTGTGTCTAAATAAGAAAGTCTCCTCTCCCACCTCTCTAGTCTCCTGTCATGCAAAACTGCTCCTCCTTCATACAGAGTAATTAAGCAGATTTAAGCCAACTACTTCACAATGTTGTGGCAATTTAGTACTCACAACATGAAAGAATAAAACAGAGAGAAATCAATAAAACACAAACACAGGTATAGTTGAGCAGTAATTATACAGCATATATATAGCCACTGCAATGAACACACACACATCCTACCCTGCTCTCCTCCAGATGTTTGCCACGCTGTGTCCAAATAAGGATATCTCATCTCTCACATCTCCACTACTCCTAATAGGGATGTTTCACTTCTCATATTTCCAGCTTCTTGTTATACAGACTGCTACTATTAAATACAAAGTAATTAAGTACACACATGAATATATAAAAACACACTTCTTATATATCAGGTGACATAATACAATTAATATACCAGAAACACACTGTATTAAACTTTCTGCTATAACACGTTACTTCAATTCTCAAAGTGCACCAGATTGATGCATTTAACTTCAACATTTAAAAAAACATCTTCCCAGGGGAGCATGCCCCCGGACCCCTAGAGGGGGTGAGGACCCCCTAGAGGAGGTGAGGACCCCCCTAGAGGAGGTGAGGACCCCCCTAGAGGAGGTGAGGACCCCCTAGAGGAGGTGAGGACCCCCCTAGAGGAGGTGAGGACCCCCCTAGAGGAGGTGAGGTCCACCCCCAAATAAAGCAGGTTAAAATAATTAAATTGAATACATGTTATTTTAGTAAACACTGAAAACGGGTCCCACAGACCCAAACAGCACACAAAGGTTAAAGGTCAGCACATCATAATGTTAAAATGTGCTAAAATTATACACTGCAAAAAAACAATAAAAAGAGCAGTAAAAGTAGCCCCCGACTTGTTTTATTTTTTGAAAGTAGCCCTCACCCTAAAAAGGTTGGTGACCCCTGATCTACACTAACTCATGATGTGCAGCCAGACCAATAAAACCCACAGAAACTGATTCAACTCAAGATCTCAAAGTTCACAAAGATCACAAATATTTCAGGAGGAGTTTTGAAGAAATGTGAAGACAAATGTCCAGAATATTTATATTAGGAATAATGGAGTCATCAAATCACAGCATCTTCAGTTTGAACTATTCAGTCAGTAAAAGCATCACGCAGCTTCAGAAAACTGAAAAATATTAGTGTTTGGGAGTTTTAATATAAATATGCATTTGTTGTATTTTTTATATAATTTATTAAAAGCGTGCTGCAGAATATAAGATGAGTTTCAGGTGTTTAAGATGAGTGAATTATGCAGGGTAGGAGAGTCAGCACTAAGATGCTCAGTGAGGATCAGTGTGATATCAGCCTGATGTCTGCAGCTCAGAGTCAACACAACTCTCTTCATCTCAGCAAAGAAGTAAAAGATGGAGAACTGACCTGAGAGTCTCCAGTCTGCAGTCTGGACTCTCCAGAAGATCACTCAGCAGCTTCACTTCATAATCCTGAAGTTTGTTGCTACTCAGATCCAGATCCCTCAGATGGGAGGGGTTGGACTTCAGAGCTGAGGCCAGATAATAAGAGCTCATCCTTGACAAGCTGCAGTCCTCCAGTCTGAATAAAGAAAACATGATGTAACTTTAGAAAACAAAGTTCCAATTTGAAATATCTCCAGGTTTAATAATCTGTTCAGAGCTGAAGAAGGTTAGAAAGTGGAAACTCCAACAGGTAAAAGCTGTAAGAGAGAAAAAGTGAAAAGATCTCTCATTAATATGAAAGACAACGTGCTTCTACTTCAATAATAAAGAGGTGACTTCACATCTGAAACTCTGCTCCATCTACACTAACTCATGATGTGCAGCCAGACCAATAAAACCCACAGGAACTGATTCAACTCAAGATCACAACGTTTACAAAGATCACAAATATTTCAGGATGAATTTTGATAGCAACAAGTAGTCAATATAGTCTGATTAGCTTAGGTTGCTATGCTAACATCACCTGTAGAATCCCAGAGAAACTTTCATAACCGCGTTGTGATGCCAAAGAGCGTCAATTCAGGCTGAAACACATTCACTTATGGGGATGGGGGATATGTATCAGCTGCTTGTGTGACAGTCGGACAGTGAATACTATACAGCGGCCGCTGCCACGAGTTAACAGTAGACTAAACTCCGGTGCACGAGCAGCACTGCAGCGGGCGATAATGTAGCTGAACCACATTAATAAACAATGAACCACGGCACTCTGGAGAAAGGTAGCCTATATGGTTGGAGAAGTAGTTCTTTAATTTAATCTGGTTTCATATGATTGAAAACTACCAGACGCAGTCCTCTATTGATGTTGTGAGCGGTGTTGCGGAGAAAATTAGCGACGTAAAACGCTGTGTGGGTCATAAGAAGGCACGTAAACGGTTACGTCATGACGCAAACGATGACGTAATGACGCAATAATTCACCTTTGAACCTAATTCCCCGTTCCACCTGCATCTGTAACAATGAGTGGAACAAAGAAAAGAAAAGTCGAAAATGAGTGTCGAGTGTTTAATGAGTAGTGGACAGCTAAATATTTTTTCACCGATCTGCTACTGGCCCGGCCCGTCTGTCAAATTTTAAAACTCATAGTGGCCCATCCATCCATCTTCTTCCGCTTATCCGTGGTCGGGTTGCGGGGGTAGCAGTTCCAGCAGAGAGCCCCAAACTTTCATTTCCCTGGCCACATCAACCAGCTCTGACTGGGGGATCCCAAGGCGCTCCCAGGCCAGCGAAGAGATATAATCCCTCCACCTGGTCCTAGGTCTACCCCTTGGTCTCTTCCCAGCTGGACGTGCCTGGAACACCTCCCTAGGGAGGCGCCCATGTGGCATCCTAACTAGGTGCCCGAACCACCTCAACTGGCTCCTTTTGACGCGAAGGAGGAGCGGCTCAACTCCGAGTCCCTCCCGGATGACCGAACTTCTCACCTTATCCCTAAGGGAGACACCAGCCACCCTGCGGAGAAAACCCATCTCGGTCGCTTGTATCCGCGATCTCGTTCTTTCGGTTATGACCCATCCTTCATGACCATAGTTGAGGGTAGGAACGAAAATGGCCCGGTAGACAGAGAGCTTTGCCTTCTGGCTAAGCTCCCTTTTCGTCACAACGGTGCAGTAAAGCGACTGCAGTACCGCTCCCGCTGCTCCGATTCTCCGGCCCATCTCACGCTCCATTGTTCACTCGAGAACAAGACCCAGAGATACTTGAACTCCTTCACTTGGGGTAAGGACTCATTCCCTACTTGGAGTGGACAGTCCATCGGTTTCCTGCTGAGAACCATGGCCTCAGATTTGGAGGTGCTGATCCTCATCCCAGCCGCTTCACACTCGGTTGCGAACCGATCCAGTGAGTGCTGAAGGTCGCAGACCGATGAAGCCATCAGAACCACATCATCTGCAAAAAGCAGTGGTGCAATCCTTAGTCCACCGAACTGCAGACCCCCTCCCCCACGACTACGCCTCGAAATCCAATCCATGTATATTACAAACAGGATTGGTGACAAAGCGCAGCCCTGGCGGAGGCCAACCCTCACCGGAAATGGGTCCGACTTACTGCAGAGGACCCGGACACAGCTCTCGCTTTGGGAGTACAGAGATTGGATGGCCCTGAGTAGAGACCCCCTCACCCCATACTCCCGCAGCACCTCCCACAGTAACTCCCTGGGAACCCGGTCATACGCCTTCTCCAAGTCTACAAAACACATGTAGACCGGATAAGCGTACTCCCAGGCCCCCTCCAGGATCCTTGCGAGAGTAAAAAGCTGATCCGTCGTTCCACGACCAGGACGGAATCCGCATTGTTCCTCCTCAATCTGAGGTTCGACAATCGGCCTGACCCTCCTTTCGAGTACCTTAGAGTAAACTTTCCCGGGGAGGCTGAGTAGTGTGATGCCTCTGTAATTGGCACACACCCTCTGATCCCGCTTTTTAAAAAGGGGAACCACAACCCCGGTCTGCCTCTCCTTCGGTACTGACTTCCACGCAATGTTGATGAGACGTGTCAACCATGACAGTCCCTCAACACCCAGAGCCTTCAGCATTTCTGGGCGGATCTCATCCACCCCCGGGGCTTTGCCTCAGGAGTCCCCCGGGATAACAAATCCCTGAAGGCCTCCTTCTTCAGTCGGACGGCTTCCCTGACCACCGGTGTCCACCAGGAGGTTCGAGGGTTACCGCCCCTTGAGGCACCTAGGACCTTGAGACCACAGCTCCCCGCCGCTGCTTCGGCAATAGAGGCTTTGAACACCGACCACTCTGGTTCAATGTCCCCAACCTCCACAGGAATGCCTGAAAAGCTCCGCCGGAGGTGTGAGTTGAAGGCCTCCTGAACTTGGGCCTCCTCCAGACGTTCCCAGTTCACCCGAACTACACGTTTGGGCTTACCAGGTCTATCCAGAGGCTTCCCCCGCCACTCAACCCAACTCACCACCAGATGGTGATCAGTTGACAACTCCCCCGAGCCAAAAAGTTTGCCCACCCCTGTCCTAAAGCATGATATATATCAGGATACAGCCGTTGCGTATTTTATTATGTGAAGCACTAAATGTTTTTAGAAAAATATCGACTCTTTGTTTGTAGATATCTAAACTAAAGCATACAAATAAAGAGAGTAGGCCTGTTATACTGAGTGATATATATTATACACACTGCTCTGCTTTCTGCACGGACCGCACAGCTGTTCTCACTGTAAACATCGCGTCGCGATGAAAGCAGTTAATAAAATAATATCCAGGGGATGCATGCAGAGCTGTCATTGGCTGAGATAAATCCGGCCATGCGTCACGACTCTTGTAAACATCACCATTGCCGGAAATACATCCAAGGAGGATCCGGAAATTAGTGAAATGAGAAAGGGCCCTAGGCTGAAGTCGAATAGTCCATTTAGCTTAGGAACCTTCTTAACCGAGTGAAATGACCCGGAAGTCCCTCAGTGGCAGCCATGATAAGTGCCGTTCGAATTCTCTACATGAAAGGAAAGGAGGGCTGCGGTCGGATAATCCAAAAATCAGCTCCTAACGTCTAACCCTATCGTCTATTCCTTGACCTCTAAGTGAAACGTCACGGGGTTAAGGGATAGTGGATAGGAGAATTCAAAAGGACTTAGGAGAAGAGACTGCAGTACTTTAGAGAATCCGAATGCACTTTCACTATCCGACGTGTTTATGATGCGCCAGCGGACGTCATTGTGTGCGTCTGCTGCTGTGGGGTAACCATGGAAACTACAGTTTTCTACAGCGGACTACAACATGGATGTTTAATAAGAACGAGGGACTACTGTAAACTCATCTAGAGACTCTGTGCTCTGATGCTGCTGCTTTGCTTTATGAACGGGGACAACAGAGAAACATATTCTTCATGACCAAAGTTGGAATTGAAATTCCTACATCCAGGACATGGTTAAACCGTACACCCCAGCGCGTGCACTACGCTCTGCATCAGCCAAACGACTCGTTGCGCCCTCGCTGCGAGGGGGACCCAAGTTCCCATCGGCAAAAACACGTGGGTTTGCTATCCTGGCTCCAAGATGGTGGAATGAGCTCCCCATTGACATCAGGACAGCAGATAGCTTACACACCTTCCGGCGCAAACTGAAAACTCATCTCTTTCGACTCCACTTCGAGCGATAGAACTATTAACAAAGCACTTATATACTAATAAAGGACTGGCTTACCTAAAGCCAGTTGAGTAGCACTTGAAATGTATTGGCTCTATGAAACCTGATGTACTTATATGATTCTGTTTTCTTCAGGTTGTGTCTTCCTGGTCGAATGTACTTATTGTAAGTCGCTTTGGATAAAAGCGTCAGCTAAATGCAATGTAATGTAATGTAATGAAATAAAAAATGAAAGTGAAACTTATGCTCGTCACCCTCTCCCTCCGGTCCACATTAATACAAATGATCCCAATACGTATGATTGTATGAAAAGATCTTAAAATCAATACAAATTTATTTATTATAAACGTTAGTCCTTAACATCTATCACTGTGTATATCACCATTCAAACATCTTTTAAAAGTTTTACAAACCCCACACAGCTCAGTAAAGACTGAGATGTTGACTTTATTTGATCATTTCAGTAAAAACTAACGTTCATATTTCTCTTTTTGATTATGATACTGATGAACGTTCAAAACAAAGCACTTTGGCAACTTACCACATACGTTTTAAAATGCTTAATAAGCACCGTAACTTTCATGATATCATTTCTCGGTCATAATCGGTTGTTTCCGTGAACGGCCGACTGTTGTGTGACGACAAATGCTGCGGCTGCAAGGCCCTTTCGTCGAGGGAGGTCCAGTGGTTCCTAAGCTAAAGGAGGTTATAAAGGAAGTTAGAAACCTCCTTTCCTATCATCTAGAGCAGTGATTCTCAAATGGGGGTACGCGGACCCCTAGGGGTACGTTGGGGTACTGCAGGGGTTACGTGAGGTAAATAAAATAAAAAGGTTAATTAAAAAAATACCATGCATGATTACAAAAATAATCTTAGTACAATAAGTTAAATAGAAAACACAATTGTATATAAAATATTCCTAGAACCACTAAGGGGGTCCTCATATAAACATGTTACATTTGTGTA